GCTGCTCTGGTTTTAACCCTTGCCAAATACTTATTTCTGTAAAAAAAGGGTAGTGCTGGCCTTCGCGGGTCAGTACGACACTCATAAAGATACCAAAATGAAAAACGTCGATGCAAAACTAGTAGGGTGACTGTCGTAGGCCCCACAGATTTTAAGGGGGGCCACAAAGACGTGTCTTATAGCCAACAGGGACTGCTAAATGTTCTATGGACTTTTCTTACAGACAAAGGACGAAGAGGAAGCCTGTCGAGTATAGGCACTAACGACACCAAGGACAGCAACGTGTCAGTATTTAGCAACCAGACAAGGGAGGAGCTTGCCTCTTTAGAAGAAAGTGTCGCTATGCTCAGAGTAAAGCGACAGCAAGTTGCTGATAAAGTCCAATCAGCAACAGAAGACATGACAGAGACTCTACAGATGATTGACGATAAGTACGGCAACAGAGCAAATCCTGTTAAAAATGGGCTCAAAGCGGCGCTTAAGCATCCTTAAGAGGCAAAGATGCTGAGAAAAGGCTGTCTTACTGAAGAAGATTTGTCTACCAACGCTTGGAAGTCGTCATTTGAATCCCTGCTGTGGAGGGAACAAAGGCGAGATAATTTTTGACGGCATATACAGAAAGAAACCCTGAATACTGCCCTAAAAGAAATAGAACGAAGTAAAAGAAATAGGAGCCCATCGGACAGCCCTGAGAAACGCCAGCAAACTATATCTTCAAAGAAAAAGACAACAGGCAGTGGCAAACAAGAAGAAATTCCACTGAATGACAAAACAAGCCCGAAGAAAAAAGTGGACGTCACAATAACAGTAGTAGTAAAGATGGCTGAAGGACAGACCTTTGCAACGTTGCTGAAGACTATGAAGGCGAACTTTGACCCCAATAAGGCTAAAGTGGCTGTCCAAAGTGTTGTCACTACAAAAAAAGGAGACACACTTATTAAGGCCAAAGGTGTAGAAAATGCTACTGCATTCTCACAGCAAATTAAAAAGTCTTTAGCCGAACAGGGTACTGTCAAAATGAGCGACAGAAAAATGACGTTAGAGATCCGAGACCTGGATGCCATTGTAGAGGAAGATGACATCAAAGAGGACTTTGCTAGGACTTTTGGACATCAGAGCCAGGAGCCAGAAGTTGCTTTCTTAAATTTAAATGCCAGAGGACAGAGGCTTTACTACTACCACTACTACTACCACTACTACTACTACCCCCGAGTCCCGGGTGAAGTTTTCGCTAGTTTCTCTATACCGGGTGCTTCCACGGGTGGCGGATAGGGGCATTCTCTAAAGCCATGAGGTGACGATGGGCAGCTGGGGTTACTCTCTGTGGTGGTGGTCGGGGGCGTGAGACGGGGAGTGTGTGTGGCGTTGGCATGTGTATCTGTAGTGGTGTGGACGGGAGACTAGTGCCCCTTGTCTTTACCGGTGTGGATGCATGGGCCGGCTCTGATTGTGCTCCTTGTTCTTCGCTTTCTTCTGCCTCCGTGGGTGGCACTCCATTGCTTGATGCGGGTCAATAAAAACTAGTACCCGTCATGTATAGAAGTAAGCGGTGCTTAAAACCTTCTTCTCAGATACATGCACTACACTCTCACTAAACAAACACAGGGATACTTACGGATTGTTCCGGGTTGCGTGTGGTGGGTCCTTTCCTGGGCTTGCGTTGGAAGCCTGGTGGTGGGTGAAGCCGGAAGATGAGGCTCAGGTAAGTCTGGGTAACCACATCTGATATGGCTGTACGCCTCATAAACATAAAAGACATGGTGGGCCGACTAATCTAGGCTTACTACCACTGATGAGGCTATACGGCGGCACCTTAGTGCCTTACGCCAGCTCGTTTTGTTGAGTTGTCTGCGCGGCCGGGGGACTATACACCTGCTGCTGGTCTGGCTGGGATGATCGATGTGTACCAACATATTCATACATTACACACGAACACCATTTTTAGACTTGTTACTCAACGCCAGGAGGAGCTTGTCCCTTTAGAAGAAAGTGGTACTAAGCTCAGAGTGAAGCGACAGCAAGTGGCTGATAAAGTCCAATCAGCAACGAAAGATATTACAGAGACGCTAAAAGCAATTAACGAATAGTATGGTAACGCAACGAACGCTGATAAGAATGGGCTCAAAGCTGCGCTTAAACGAGGCAGAGGTGATAAAAAAGGCTTTCCTTGTGAATAAGAAGTGTTCGCAAACTCTTGGAAGTTGTCATTCGAGTCCCTGCAGTGTAGGGAACAAAGGCAAGATAAGTTCTGAAGGCAGGTACAGAAAAAAACCCTGAACACTGCCCTAAAGGAAATAGAACGAAGTAAAAGAAACAGGAGCCCATTGGACTGCCCTGTGAAACGCCAGAAAACCATGCCTCCAAAGAAATATAAAATAGGCAGTAACAAACAAGAAGAAATTCTCCTGAACGAAAAAACAAGCCAGAAGAAAAAAGTAGATGCGACAACAACAGTAGTAGTGAAGATGGCCGAAGGGCAGACCTTTGCAAAGGTGCTGAGGACGATGAAGGCGAACTTTGACCCTGGTAAGGCTAATGTGGCAGTCTAAAGTGTTGTCACTACAAAAAAAGGAGACATACTTGTTAAGGCCAAAGGTGTAGAGAATGCTACTGCATTTTCACAGCAAATTGAAAAGTCGGTAGCTGGACAGGTTACTGTCAAACTGAGCAACAAAAAAGTGACACAAGAGGTTTGAGATCTGGATGCTATTGTAGAGGAAGATGAGGTGAAAGAGGCTTTCGCTAAAACTTTTGAACTTAAAAACCAGGAGCCATAAGTAGCTCTCTTAAAACCAAATGCCAGAGGACAAAGGCTGGCGTTCATTAAGGTGGACGAAACAACTGCCAGACAAGCAGAAGAGGAAGGCAGGTCACGAGTTGGCTCTGTAAGCTGCCGAATTCGAAGAAGAATTGAAGTAACAAGATGTTACAAATGCCTGGAATATGGACACGTCTCAGGCAACTGTAAAGAAGAATACAGATCCAAGCTTTACTTCCGGTGTGGAAGCTCAAACCATCGGAAGAAAGAGTGTTCAGGCCCATCACGGTGCTTTCTTTGCCCAACAACGGACAACAAGCACTAAACTCGGATAAAGGACGAATAGCAAGCCTTTTGAGCATAGGCAGTAATGTGTCTGTTCTTAGCAACCAGACCCAGGAGGACTTCGCCTGTTTAGAAAGCAATGGTGCTGAGCTAATAGCGAAACGACAGCAAGAGATTGATAAAGTTCATTCAGCAATAGAGAGATTAATTACACGCTCGGAGCTACAAACGTAAAGTATGTAAACACGGCAAACGTCGTTAAGGAAGGCCTCAAAGCTGCTTTGAAACACCTGAAAGCTGCTAAGGTTATCAGGAATGTCTTCTCTTTTAAACAAGAAATGTTGACGAAGAGTTGGAAGCAGTGCTTGGAATCTCTGCAGCACGGGGAATATAGGAGAGATGATTTATGACAGCTAATCTAGAAAAGAACCCTGAACACTGCTCTTAAGGAAATAGAGCGAGTTAAGAGTAACGGGAGCCTGTTAGACAGCCCTGAGAAACGCCAAGTAGCTCTGCTCTCTAAGAAGAAGAAAACAAGCAGAGGTCAACAAGAAAAGGTTCTGCCGAGTAACAAAAAAGGCCAGAAAAAGAGAGTAGATGCGACGACAAAAGTATTGGTGAAGGTCGCTGAAGGGCAGACTTTTGTCAATATGCTCAAGTCAATGAAGGCGAATTTTGACCCGGATGTGGCTGACGTAGTGGTCCAAAGTGTTGTCACTACCAAAAAAGGAGACATGCTAATAAAAGCTATAGGGGTTAAGGATGCACTTGCATTACTGCAGCTATTTGAAAAGTCGGTAGCTGGATAAGGAACGATGGTAATAGGCAGCAAAAATGTGACACTTGAGGTTTGAGACCTGGATGTTACGGTTAAAGAAAAAGAGGTTTAGGAAGCTTTTCTGAAAACTTTTGAACAACAGAGCTCGGAGATCAGAGTGACGCTTCTTGAACCTAATACCAGAGAACAGAGAATGGCGCTTATGACGGTAGATGAACCCACAGCAAGACAAGTGGAAAACGTAGGTAGACTGAGAGTCGGCTTCCTAAGCTGCCAAATCCAAAAAAGAGTCGCAGTTACAAGATGTTACAAATGCCTGGGATATGGACATGTTTCAGGCGACTGCAAAGAAGGACATAGGTCCAAGCTTTGCTTCCGGTGTTGATGCTGCAACCATCGCAAGAAAGAGTGTCCAGGCCCAGCACGGTGTTTCCTCTGTCCAACGACAGAAAACAAGCATGAAGCCGTCAGTGGAAGCTGCCCTATATTTAGAAGAGTGCTAGAAGAAGCCAGGAAAAAGGCACCATATGGGCGCATCTAAGGCAAGAAAGGCCTTTAGTAGGAAGTTAGGCTTATGCGGACGCATCATGCTCTGAGTACATATACTTATCAGCTAGGGAAAGCATCACGCATTTAGTGGCGCTTGCAAAGAATGCAGCCTACGAAGGAGAGCTAGATACGGGTGCCAGTCCTCCGGGACCCCGAGCCCTTTTCAGGACTTAAGAGAATTGGCACCTCTAGCAATTGGTGGCGAGCTTGCTCGCTTATGCTGTGAGATACGATGTTTTCCCTGGTGGCTCCACCCTGAAGTTATGCTAACGCGGTTCGGGGGTAGAACAAATCCATGCGGCATTGGGGGTTTGAAAGGGTATGGGTGGTCTAAAATAAATCCACTGAGTCCCACACTACCGCTGTCCCTGTGGCGTGCCTCAATGCATTTCCCCTCCCTCCACAAAAAAAAACCACCACTACTACTACTTTTCTGAAGATCTTGTTTATTTTGTTAATAATGTTTTTATAAACTCGAAAGTCATTCGCATGCTTTAAATCTTTTATTTCAGCAACGAATTAAATATTTTTTGTATCTTTTGTATATAAACGAAGTATTTAAAATCCATCCAAACAATTGCTAAGATTTATTTTTAATATTCTTGGTATTATTTTCCGTATAGGCATCATTTCAATAAAAGTCTTTTAATAAAAGAAGTAAAAAATTCATTAAAGTTTGCTGATGGGAAAGCAATTAAGAATGAAATCGATATTCAACTGCTGGACCTATCCGTACCAAAGAAAGAGACTAATGCTGTATTGTTACCAAGATTTGAAATATTGGATGAATTAAACCATGCAGATTTATTTTACGGTAATGTATGAATTTGTATATTTCAGTAATTTTCATTATAACTGCAGAAATAACAAATAGTATTACATAGACTGATCCCAATTGTGTTGTACTATTATAATTAATACTTCAGGTATATACCGTTTACCAACATGTCCCTAGCAGAACTGTATAAGTCCATAATAATAGATCAAATTTACGTATTTAACATTAAATATAATGCTTGTATATCTTACCTTTTTTTTATCACTACGAGTTTTAAATACATATATACAATATTTTTTATTTATTTGGTTGAGATGTACACATATATATTTCTGTTCAAAAGATAAACTAAAGAAATTTTGGTTTTTCTAGTACACTTTTTATTCGCACATTATTTTTGATTTTTAACTATATAAGAACGTTATTTACATCCATCGTTTTTTTTTATTCATTATCGCCCTCTAAGGGGCTCAAACATGGCTATTTTGACACTATAAAGTGTATTTAGCCATACGTTGGTTAATTAACGGTAGGTGTGAAACGGTAGAAAAATCGGTAGGTTTTTAATAAAGCTCAAATTCCCTCCAGAAAAAAACCTCATTTATTAATAAAAATTTTTGTCCAGAGTGGGATTTGAACTCCGGTATTCAAGATCTGTAGGCAAACACGCTACCGACAGAGCCATCATGAAAAAGAAACATAAGATTTTCCGTTAGAAAAAAATGGAATTGTATAGATTTGTTAAAATGTTAAAATATAAAAAATTGATTGATCTCATAGGGTGTACATTAACTATATTTTTTCATATGATAAATAATACATGCATGTATATAAACCTTATCGCGCAAATGAGACGTTTTACGTCGTCTATTCTAGGGCGCTGTGCGAGCGCCGAAACATCTATTTTTTAGCTCACCGTCAGAACACTAAATCTAACTCATTCAAATTTTAAAAAATACATAACCGATTTTTCTCTTCTTCTGATTTTTAATACGATTATCAGTTTTCTAAAAAATGAGTTTCTAATCTACAAAAAACACAAAACGTGTTATAACTAAACAACGACATTTTTAATATTTTTTTCATAGTCTAGATCGAAAGACAAATTTTTTCTACATCTGAATAGCTATTTCCCGGCAAGACTTTTTTTTATTTTTGAGAGAAAAACGGCGATGAACGTTAGGTACTGCTCCGCGCGTCGGTGTGGACGACGCTGCCGTACTAATGAATTCAGATAGTAATCGAGAACGAAATGAGTTTTATTTCTTTCCTTCCATTCCTTCTTTATTCCTTTTTTAATATTGTTTTATAAATCTTGTAAAGTTTGATGAACAGTTTCTAAGGCTTTTATTAAGATCATTAAAGCCTTACAATATAAATAAATAAATCGAATTCTTGCAGTTTTTTATTTTTGAATTGTATTTCAGAAAATATACTTAAGGTATTTTCTTACTCCAACTCTAAAGTTTTAAACAACAAATTTCTTATTTCTACCTAGATAATTAATCAAAATAATTTCATACTCAAGCTTTGATGTTTACTATTGTTTCATAATTCTTCTACTGTAAATAATATGATTTGTACTATTATTTGTTTCTCCACTCTTTTTTAAAGGTATGAGCGAAGTTAAACAGTAACATGTATTGTTTTGTGACTCAAAAACCATGTTATTACTCAAAAAGTCTAAGGAAAAAAAAATTTTCATATCTATTGACCATTTTAGAATTTTCTTTACAATTTACTTAAATTATTTTTTAAAATTAAAAAAGTACGCAAGTAATTTTTGCAATGAAATATTCTCGTAACAGTGACTGCTCCATCAATTATTATAACAATTTGAAAATAGTGCTCTAATAAACCTATACTAAAAACAGTTTCCTCAGAATTTTTAAACAAAATTTTTTCATGTATTTGTTAATCTTTGTTCCTTTCTCGTTGTCATCTTTGCTATCTTCTTGTTTTGTTGTTAAAAACGTGTTACGGAGAAACATTTATATATTTAACGTTTTTTGTAGAACTTTCAACTTTCTTTAATTTCAACAAAGCTGTTAAATAAATTTTCCACTTATTTATAGAATCTTCTAATTTTCTTATGTTAAAAATGATTCTTGGTGTGTTTTAATAATGAATTGGTGAACGAAGAACTCTAAAAGTAATACCACATGTTAAAATTTTTTATATTATGTGATGTCTCTGGAGCATGTTACGACGAAGGTAGCGTAACAGTAAATTTCATATTTATGCATAAGCTTTTGCTCATTAGCCTGATGACTTGATAGGAAGGTTGGAGACTGAGCACTAAGGTGGTAACAGGGTTGATAGTTGTAAAGAAAGTTAGCCTACGACTCGGACATCGGCATTTGCCCTTATAGCACGCAACCAGCCATTTATTTTGGAGTTGTAGGTTGTTTTCTTTTTAAATTAAGCTAATCGTTTGGCCACCATCTTTTTCACAAGTGACATATAACATAGCTTTGAAGATTAATTTCTTAAAAATGAAGCTAGTTGCTTAGCTGTCAGCATTTATACTAACTGGTACACAACGTAGCATTAATGATTGATTTTTTTTAGATAGAAGCTAGTAGCTTGGTGTCGGCATTTATATTTACTGGCACAGAATGTAGTGTTAAATATTAATTATTTTTTTAGTTAATTTATTTATCTTTTTACCACCTGCCTGTCGATCAGCATCCAGATTCAATGTCACGCAATAGTTTTATGCAAAAAGTTATAGGGGCCGCTTAAAATTTAATTTCAAGCATAAATGTTTCTTACCTTTATTTTTATGAATGGAAAGAGATACAAAAGTGACTTTTGAGGCAAGATTCGGATAACCAGATTTAATTTGAATTGAAGGCGAATCGACCGCATTCTTCAGCTCGTGTATATGCACCAACCAAGTGCATCAAGTCATGTGTCTAATCTGGCTACGACTGCAGGTGTACACCTAAGCTGGATTAAAGAGACGTACATAAGTTTTTAGGATTAATTTTCATCATCTGACAAGGACGAGGAATGATTTTCTACATCTTTTCCGTCTTCTATAACTTATTTTTTTTTTTTTGTTCTTAGAGATATATGCTTACTTGCTGAGGAATATCATATGGCTTCAATGCTGGTCTCAGCGTTCGCTCGTCTGCAATGTCAATGTAGGAAAAAGTGAGTCACTTTAGAGTTTGTGCAATTTTTCGGCTTGATGGCCTTTCATATTGTGAGAGTGCTAAGAAAAAAAAAGCACAGAAATGCAACACGCCCTTGTCAAACTTTATTGAGCAAACGTTGACCAAACGTATGAATAAAAATATCCTGGCTTGAGCGTCAGCTTACTTAACTACGTCACCTTTTTTACAAATAGCTAAGACAGAGAAGTAAAGGATAGAAAATTAATGTTCAATTTTACCGGACAATATTTTAATAAAATTATTAACATAAGGAGTGAAAAAGAGGTAGACCAGTTCTTGCGTCTTCATCTGACTCATTTCATATTATCTTCATTTTCCGTCTCTCTTTATACGTAAGTTGCGGTGTGCTAGCTCTGATGCTTGGCGCATATATAAAAAGGTGGTCGTTGAAAATTAAATTGTTTCAGGCGCCCAAAAAAATCTTTCCTTTTGACGAAAAACTACGGGAAAACTTTCTTTTTTGAAAAAAAAAAAAAGTAGCAACATGTGCAGCCGGCCAATTAAAGCTTATTTTTCGACAAAATTGCAGTTTTTGTCAGTATATTCTGAAGATTCAAATTTTAATAAAAAATGGTGAAAACGTGCTTGTAGGATATTAAATTCTCTACATAATAGTGTCTTTTGATTTTTAATGAAGTTAATATTGATCCGAGTAATCTCATTAATTAATTCATAACCGCTTTTCAATCATCATTTTGAAGACTAAAAAATTTATTTTTCCTAAATCATGAAAAATAAAACATATTATATTAACTTCATTAAAAATCGAAAGACACTATTATGTAGAGAATTTAATATCCTACAAGCACGTTTTCATCATTTTTGATTAAAATTTGAATCTTCAGAATATATTGAAAAAAACTGCAATTTTATCGAAAAATCAACTACTTTTCGTCAAAAACAAAGTTTTTTTTTGGGGCGTGAAAAAATTTAATTTTCAACGACCACCCTAATATATATATATTGTAACGCTGTACCTGGCAAGTTTAGCACACGCACACCACTAACCCGAGTACAATGCTACGGGTACAGCTGTGCGGCTTCGGCCTCTTTGATGCGACCATCGTAGCCCGACGCCGCCACCTAAAGTTCCCCGCACAGCAGTTTTTAATAAAACTCATTAATGAATCAAGTAGCCAACACTTAGTGAGCCACTAAATTCCCATCAACGAGCCACTAACAATCCCCCATTAGGGAGCCACTACTAATTTCCCCCGAAGCCACTACTCGCGACCCGGAGTCACTACCAACTATGCTCGAGAAGGGCATGAAGTGCACCTCGTGACCCGAGTTTCCTTTACTGTAAAGTAAACTAGCCACGAGTTCTCCGCCCCTACCAGCCACTAGCCCGATATGAGGGACTCTTAGCGTCCTCCTCACTGTTTCGCGTACCTTGCACAGACTACCACCACTGATTAGGTATCAACAGTACTCACCCTGATGCTTGCGATTCCTCCTGCTCCTTCAACCTTTTTAGCCACCCGATCGCAACCAGCCAGCCAAGACCCTATTATTCTCTTCCTGGACACAAGATCCTAGGAAGGAAACCCGGAAAATCGCGAGCCACACAAGACTTTACAATATCCTTCTCTTTGATCACTTAGAGCTAAGGGAATTTCAATAACTACTCAAAGAGACTCAAATTTCACTACTACTCAGCCCAGCTACTTCCACCTGCTTGATAACTCGGACCAGTCCCTACCAACAATCCCTTGATCGATCGCCTACCGTCGATCAACGATTGCTGATTGGCTAATTATGCCCTAGCGCCCTCTTTTATTTATTCAATCCTTTATCAACACTCACAGACACGCGCACATAAACTTGAGGATTTACCACGGCCATACCTCTGCG